CTGTGATTCCCTGGAGGTGTTCAAAGTTGTGTCCTTGGGCCTGTGTCCCCACATGGCACCATCAGGACAAAGTGCGCTTTGTGGAGGTTTGCTGTGGCCCCTGGAGCAGCAGGAAGGCAGAGGGCCTGATGTTGAGCTAGGGCCCTCCTTCCTGCAAACCAGTGACTTGCTTCTCTGGGTCCTACTAGGAACTGCAGGAGATGGTGCCAAGAAAGAGGGATTGATAGCACTGTACTGCATTGTCCCCAGAGGCTGTGCTGGCAGCCTCTGTTTTCCTTCCAAGTATAGATTGAGGTCGAGTCTTTGGGCAGAGGAGGGAGATGCTTTGGGCTCCAGTGTCTTCAGCACGATCATTTTCAACCATGCAGCGCATGGGAGCTCGTGGTGTCCTCAGCCTGCCTCTGGCTACGCTGATATTTTTCCCCAGTTGAATTGGCCCAGATTTGGGAATAAGGAAGAGAATCCTTTTTCTGCAAGCTTCTTCTTTGTCTCCCCACATCATTGCATCCCCCCTAAGGCCATTCTTTTGTGAGTTGTTCTTCTGTGGGCTTTTTTTTTCTGATGAAGGCCTGACATGAGCAATGAGCTTCCCAGTTCTGTGCTGAGTTTGCTCTTTGCCCAGAGATCAGTCCAGTTGTCGAGCTGTCGGAATTTCTCCAGCGCCATCAACATTCTTCATGTTTTCATTGTCAAATTATATGTGACACTTAATTTAAAGCTTAAGCATAAAGCCTCACTAGCAGGGAGATTGCTAGAAGATATTGATTTTACTGCATGCTTGTATTTACATATAAAACCGATGCAAAATGTTGCTGTTGGTCAGGGCATTATTTCTGGGCAGGCCATCGATTTATGCTTTATTTTAATTCTAATGTTTCTAAGATCTGTTTGGCCAACATGACTGTGAACAACACCAAGAGCAAATGGGTGTAATGAAGAGCTTTGCACTGAATTTTGGGGTTTCGTGCTCTTTGAGCCAAAGCAAACTTGTGGAACTGAATCACCTTGATTTGCTGAAAGGAGAAGACATTTCCGACACAGTGAGGAGTGCTTCATGTCTTGCAGTTTGTTTTAAAAGTTTACAAACTTTGAGGGGATTCAGGACTTGGAGCTGAGGATGATGGCAATCTTTTCGTACAGTGCTGCACGTGGTAATTTTGCTGGTGGCAAAGGGGGTTTAACAAAAGACTCCCAAGGAAAAGCCAAAAGTAACCAAAATAAGGGGACAGGTTTGAGTCTGGAGGGGCGGGGGTTTGCATGCAGGTCCTGGCTTTGGTGCTGTGTTTGATCAGTGCTGGGAGCTCCCGTGTTGCCTACAGGGCAAGGTGGCTCTCTGCTAAATGCCTTTGTGTCTTTCAACTCACCAGTGGATTTGGTGTCCTCCTGGCTATTAGAAACCCCTTGGGTAAAGGTCACTGCTGAATCTGTTTGCAGGAGCACAGCACTGCAGTGCGCACATCACGCTCTGCCAACAGAGCACCTTCTGTTGGGTTTTCACTCAGCTCACAGCTGTTAGAAATAAGATTTGTGTCAGAAGCTGCCATTAACATGATGGAGGGGCAGGAGAAACAGCCCTGAGTAAGAAATGGAGAGCTCAGCCTGTTTCAAAGAGAGCCAGCAGAGAGGATGGTTAATGGAGGTGACATGGAAAGCCCTTAACTTTAAAGCCACCAACCCCACCAGCCACCTACCATTAGTTCTTCATAAAGCATTTGCAGACCAACTGGTGCCATGATGTCTGATCCCAAAGCTGTGCCTCGTTCTCTGAGCAGGTTCATGGTGTGCCTTGTGATGAGAATCTCCCAGAGACAAGTACAGAATCAGAGAATCATAGAACTGCTCAGGTTAGAAAAGACCTTAAGGATCGAGTCCAACCACGACCTAACCATCCTACCCTACCCTATCTCTAGCAACCCTCCTCTAAATCATGTCCCTGAGCACCACATCCAAACGGATTTTAAACACATCCAGGGATGGTGACTCAACCACCTCCCTGGGCAGCCCATTGCAGTGCTTCACAACCCTTTCTGTAAAGAAGTGTTTGCTGATATCCAGCCTAAACTTACCCTGGTGCAACTTGAGGCCATTCCCCTCGTCCTGTCACCTGTCACCAGTGAGAAGAGACCAGCCCTGCTCTCTCTCAGCCATAGGCAGAGCTCACATGGGATGTGCAGGTGCCTCCTGTGGCCTGCAGATCCCAGAGATCAGAGCATCTCTTGTGTGCATGTAGAGGTGCATGCCATCCCTGCATCTCAGCTGTGTCTTAACTTTGTGATACAGTCATGGAAAAATTGCTAAATCTCACTTAATGCTGTATGAAGGAGAGAGTTGAACTTCCTTTACACTTGGCTGGTGTAATAACCCTTCCTTTTTCACCCAGCCTAGTAAGCTACAGAGTGCATTTGTGTCCATGAAGTCCATTTCATGCCTGATGAATCTGCTGTTTTCTGAGGCCCATTGAAAAATAAAACCTTGAGAGGAGATAGATACGAATGGTTCAAGTCCTTGATTCAAAGACTCTCCCCATTGCCCCCAACCTGTTTCTACAAGATTAGCTGCTTACATTAAAGAAGTTACAGACAGATTCACTTCTGTCTTTCTCAAGAATTAGATTTCCTTTCTAATGATGTGATGCCCCTATTTCTGTGGCTCAGGTGCAGGTTGTGCATCCCAATTCTGCCTGGGGAGCAGCAGCAGGCTCTGCACTGAGCACCTGGGGATGGGAGGGAAGATGATGATGATGAGGATGATGAAGATCCCTGGAGTCTCAGGCATCTTCATCTTCATCATCATCATCATCATCATCATCATCATCATCATCATCTCTCAGTTATCTGCCTGCAGGTCCCCGGCTGCTTCCCTGGAGCAGCTGCCCAGGGGTGAGAGGAGGACTTTACAACTGAATAGAAGTTGGATGGCACTCAGCTGCATCCTAAAAATGCTGTAAGACAGGACAGGTGCTCTGAAAAGAAGCCATCAAAGGCAGCTTTACGTTGCTTCTAACTTCTGCTTGTGCTAATGTGATGATTTCAATGTGCTCATCGTGTCCTGGAGGCACTTGGCTTCTCTGTAGCTTGTGTCTCTTTAGGGAAGAGTTTCATGCTGATGCTCTGATCTTTCTCTCCCCTCTGGAGTCCCAACTTCAGACATTTCAGGATGGATCTGGTTCACTTTCTGAATTGCATCATGGTCAGCGAGTTACAGGAAAACAAGAAATCAGTCAGTAAGGTTTCCCAGGTGTTTCCTGTGATCCATCAGTTTACAAGCTGCTTTAATCTTAAATGCTCCCCATTGAAAGGCAGCACCTTGTTTAGCAGGAGCACACCTATTTTCTGTGCAGAGCACAAAGCAGGCACTGATTGTGCAGATCTGCAGAGCTTCCCGAAATGCACCCGTGGCAGATGGGGCCACTTGTACTTCCTGTCCAGATCTTTGCAGCCCAAGAAGATGCAATGTCTGGGGTGAAAAACAGAGGTCGTAGGACTTCTCAGCTGAGCTTTGCATCTTTACCTCTCCTTTGAGAGTGAATGGCAGCCAGAGCGCAGGTCTGGCCCTGTGGTTGTGGCTGCTCACAGAGAGCTCAAAGGTGGCCTGGGCACAGAATCCAGGAGATGCTGCTGGCAAAACTCTGTGATGCCCAGCCCCAGTTCTGTGTCCGTGTATCTTCAGCTGGCTGGGTGTGATCTGCGGGCAAAACCTTGCCTGGAAAGCATTAAATCACTTTGCAATGGACTGGGTCCAGCTTCTGCTAATCCTAATGAGTCAGCCACCCACAGGTTTCAGTGAGATCAGGCTTGTTGAAGAAATCTCATTGTAACAGCAGACACAGCGCCTTGTGTGCTCTTGAACAGAAGGATAAATGGTGCATCAGTGCTGGCCTTACTACATTTCCAAACCTACTAGAGGGCAAGGACAACGAAAGTGGTCGTTCAGGAATAGTTGGTCACAGACTTCAGCAGGAGGAGCTTCCAGCAGTGCTGTGACACCCAGGCAGGACTGAGACCCACGTTGTCACCACGCTGCAGAGCGATGGCCAAGCCTGAACGTGGGCTGCAGTTTGCTGGAGGGGCCCCTGCCCATGTCAGCAGGCATGAAAGTGCTCCAGACCTCCTGGATTTTGGATTCCTGCCTCTCCTAAATTGCTCTCCCATGTGCCTCCTCATTGCCGTTCCCACCCTGATCCGCTGTGGTTCGGAGCTGTGGAATTTGTCACCTCCCTACAACAGTGTCCATGCTTTTGATGGCTCTTCCATGGGATATTTTAATGCATTCTTGCCAAACGTTCCATTTTTTTGTCCCCCAGTAGCTACTGACAGATGAAAGCACTAACACTGCCTTTACATGGGAATTTAATGGTACCAGCTGTCATGCAGATCCCCAATACAAATATTTTCTGCTGTTAATGGTTTCAGCGCGAGCTTTTTTATGTGATCAAATGTAATCTTATTTAATGGCGTTTTATTGCCGTGACGCCTGATTCTTTTCACCGGGCTGGACTTTATTTTTAAAGCAAGAGTTGATTGTTCAGCAGAGAGACAGAGAAACGGGACCGAGCGGGGCGGGAAGCGGGGCTGAGATGTGCTCAGAGGGAGGTACTGCAAACGGCTCACATCCGAGGGACAAAGCAGGGATACTTGGTGGAACAGCTCCGTTTGGAGTGAGCTGGAGCAGTGCTACCAGGGCTGCTGTGCTGGCGGCTGCCATGTTTCCCCTCTGGCTGTCGCATGGCTATGCAGAGCCACGTCACAAAGACAGCACTTGCAGCTGGTACCTGGTGTGTGGCTGCTGGCGGGTCTGCGAGGCAGGCAGCAGGTAGAAGGCTGGAGCGAGCCGGTGCCTTTGCTTAGAAACCGTTTATCTGTCACAGGGGCTGCAAAGCAATGCCAAAACGCAACGGCCAGAATGCGACGGCCAAAGGACTGCAGCAGGAGCGTGTCACCTGCCCCTAAATCTCCCTGTCACCTTACAGACGCCGTGACTGCAGTGTTGTTTGTCTGTAGGTTGTCCGCACAGAGAAGAACAGCCTGAACAACCGCTTCCTGCCGTGGGATGAGATCGAGACAGAAGCCATCCTGTCCATCGACGACGACGCTCACCTTCGCCACGACGAGATCATGTTTGGGTTCCGGTGAGTGGCACAGGGTGCAGCTTTTCTGTGCAGTGTGGCCGTCGTGGTTAAAACGAGGGCCTGACCAAGGGTGAGCGCATCCCTTCCAATGGCTTCACGGTGCAGAAATAGCGTGTGTTAATGAATTGTTTAATTCACTACATGTTAACAAGTTGCAGGCAGGTGGGCTGATTCCAGGTTGTCCAGGCAACCTGATTCTCACATGTCTTAACCTCAGCTCTTTGGCTTTTGCGATTCTGACAGCGTTCCCTTCGTGTTGTTGGCAGTGCATGCTTTCCTTGCCTGTTGAGGAAGAAAACTGGAAAACAAACGCAAGGCTTTCACACTCCGTGCTTTGTGTGCCATCAGCGAGGCCACGACATTCACTGCAGGGATTCATTGCTCGTGTGCTCACAGCGGGCTGTCATCCCTCCTCTGAGATCTGTGCGGCGCTGGGATGTGACAGCTGTTTTAGCATCGCTCTCTCCAGAGCATGAAGAAAAGAGATGTTGCACAGAGTGCTGGTTGCTCTCGTTCCTACTCTTCTGCTCCAACACCTACATTTTCCTTCGATGTACGCTGGCACACAGCTCCCTGTTGATGAGCCCAGGGAAGAAAGCGGTTCCATAGGAGGTTTCCCCAGGCTGCTGCTGCTCACCCTCGCTTGGCTGCAGCTTGTCAGCCTGGTGTGGGGCTGACTGCAAATCCAAGGGCTCCTGACGGCTGTCAGGGGGTGGAGGCAGGCAGCAGCTCTCCTCTCCCTCCCACATGGGTTGGCTCTTGCTTCAGAGGAAGACAGAAAGGCACAAAATGCCTGGAAAGCACTCTCTCTGAGGAGTGAGAAATGTGGTGTTAAGTGATTACAAGCAGGCATTGGGACTCCTGGCTCCCTTCCTTGCCCCACTGTGGGCTTTTTATCTGGACTTGGCCATTTTCTGCACCTCTTTGGTCTCCATTTGCCTTTGCCCATCTGCAGTGCCTGGCTGAGGCTGCACTGATCAGGCCCGGAGCACCTTACATGGAGATTGTTTGCTGGGAGCAAACCTTACCAAGGAGTGCAACCAAAATGCTCTGCTGGAGGAACTCTGGGTTTTGCTGCTGAGCTGGGAAAGAAATGTCACATTCATGTGGATGTGGGAGAAGTGAAAGGGGGTGAGTGGTTTCTGCTGCAGCTTTTCAAAACGGTCGTATTGGATCGATAGAATCCCTCAGCACACAAATGCTGGGAGGATGGTGGCAGGGAAGGGAAGCTGCAGGCAGTGTTAATTGCTCAGTTTTCATTATCAGGTTATATTGGAGTTTCCTTAATTTGTCTGAGGATGTAACAACAAACCAGTCTTTGCTGTTTGCTGTGTTAAGTAGCCTAATCAAAGCCCAGAGCCCTCAGGAACTTTGTTTTGTCAGCAGCCCACAGTTGCTCCGCAGCCATTGCTTGTGAAGCTCAGCAGGAAAGAACCTAGGGAGGAGGAACCAGGAGCTCCATGTGTGCTAGGAAAATAGGGGAAGGGCACCTGCTGCCTGATGGAGTGTCTGGGGAAAGGGGAAAACCCTTCCAGTCTCCCACCTGGGGCTCGTTCCTCGTAGCCACTGAGTCACTGAGGTCAGATCAGTGCATCCGAAGGAAGCCATCAGCCCGATGTGGAAGATGGATTTAGTTCCCAGGTTAGACATTTAGCACTGATGTTTTTCTTAATTACTCCTGACAGCATTGCAGCTATCCTGTGGGATTTCTCTGGAGGAGAGCGAGCTTCAGATGAGAGCAGAATGTTAAATGAGCCCACACTCTCACATGTGAACCCCAGAATTAATTCCCTGTGCAACAACTGCGAGCGTGTGTAGGGGTGAAGGATGCTGGCGAGGCTGCTGGGTGCAGGTTGGGATGGAATTGGGCAGGTAACCACTGCATGTCTGTAAGTAGGGACAGGTAGAGGAGCTTGGTGCCTTCCATCTTGGAGACCCCATCTTGAGCATCTCTGCAGCTTTCCTAAAGGGAGCTTTGATTGTCTTTGCTGTATGGAGGAAGAAACAGAGCTGCTGGGAGATACCACGTCCCAGGGAGCTTGGGAAGAGGCTGGATTACCCCAGGCTGCTGTGGGGTATAGAAGAAATAGAAGCAGCACTGGTGCATGTGTCTTGCAGTGATGTGCCTACACATGCTGTGTGAAGCTGGCAGCAGTTTCCATCACACTGGCTTTCCCAGCCTCTTTCTCTGCCTTTTCACCTGAGATCATAGCTTTCCATGCTCTGTGTAATTCAGAAATGAATGATGGGCTATCAGCCTCTATTCTTAGTTCTCTTTTAAACTTGCAGCACAACCCTTTTAGTTAGAAAAAGCGACTCGAAGGCGCCTCTGGAAGAGAACCAACATGAGAAACCCAGCTGTGCTGCTCTGCACTCGCAGCTGTGTGTGGCAGAGCTGAGTACGGGATGCTCTGCTTCACACTCAACATTTAGAACAAGATAAGCTCAACAAATTCTGTATTCCTGTCAAAGCCACAATTTCTGCATTTCTGTAGCCCCTTCCTGCAGTACAGTATGGCACAACTCCATGAGATCAGGGAGGGATCCGTGAGTCACTTGGTTGCTCCTTGTGATGGTGCTGGGGCAGCGGGCGAACTTGCACTGCACAGTCTATGTACACAGGCACCTTTTCATGTGATGTTTTCATGCTTTTGTAAAAAAAAAAGTAAAATAAATGAACTTTCAAGCAAAGTAATTGCACGTTTTCACAATGATTGTAATTCTTGTCCAAGCAACCAGCCATCGCCAAATGCACGCATTTCCATCACGTGCAGCCCTTCCTTGGGAGCTGCTCTGTTGTATTGAGGGCACAGTCCTGCCCTGAGCTCCTGGCTCAGCTGGAGCTGTGCTCACCTCCAGAGGTGCTGCCCAGGTTGGTGTCTGATGGAAAACCTTGGTGTTTCTGTTTGCAGGGTCTGGAGGGAGGCGAGGGACCGCATCGTCGGCTTCCCGGGGCGCTACCATGCGTGGGACATCCCCCATCAGTCCTGGCTCTACAACTCCAACTACTCTTGTGAGCTCTCGATGGTGCTCACTGGTGCTGCCTTCTTCCATAAGGTGAGATGTCATAGAATCACAGAATATCCCAACTTGGAAGGAAGCCGTAAGGATCATTAAGTCCACAGTTGCTCTTCCACGGTCAGCCTGGTGCTTTCCCTTCCTTCTCAGACTAACTGGAGTTCATGTGGTTGTGGGGCTTTTGTTTTCAAAGAAGAAACTCTGCAGCACACTGCTCCTTTTCCCCGGCTCCTTCCAAACAGAAACACTAACAAACATATCCAGCGCCCAGAGGCACATCACAGGCAACACACAGATTCTGCAAGCTAGGAACACCCAGATGCTCCCTCGTTTGCAGTCGCAGGGATGGGCTGATGGTTGGGTTAGATGATCTTAGTGGTCTTTCCAACCTTAATGTGTCTATGAATGGGAGGTGTGATTCAGATTCCCTGTGTCATATTTACAGCTGAGTCTCCCAGAGCTCTTGTGTGGGAGTTGATAACCTTTCTGTAGTGCCTTTAATCTTACAGAGTCCAAGCACTGCAAATTGCACTTTCAGGCAAAGTCATGGTTTTCTGTAGCTGCCTGGTGTGCAGAGCTTGTGGGTGGTTTGTGCTGGGAGGGAGCACTGCAGAATGCAGCTCTGTGGCACGTGTTCTGTCTATGGGACAACCGACAGGTGGCAAGTGGGCCTTAAAAACCAACAGGCTCTTTTCCTACAGGGGTTGTCCTGAGCTGTCTTAGCAAGGTGGGAAGGTCATCCATCCGCTGCTGGGCAAGTGCTGTGCAGCAACAAAGACAGCAGGAGCTGAGGGGGCTGGGGCAGCACTCTCTGCCTGCGGCCCCTTGAGCATTGTTAGAACTTTTTTTCCTCACCAGTACTACGCCTACCTGTACTCCTACGTGATGCCGCAGGCCATCCGCGACATGGTGGATGAGTACATCAACTGCGAGGACATCGCCATGAACTTCCTGGTCTCACACCTCACAAGGAAACCTCCCATCAAGGTAAGGCACCAGGCAGGGCTTGGGTGATTTGATGGATGTCTGAAACGTGCAGCGCCGTGCGGAGTGCAGCTTGGAGGCTGCTTGACTTGGGGAAATGCAGCTGCTGCCCTCCCTCACCGTGCTCTGACTGCAGTGCTTCTCCAAACGGCTGTGCTGTGAGCGTGACCTGCTGCGAGCTGCTAACGTGTCCCCTCCGTCCCCAAGGAGGTGCAGTGTGTGCTCAAAAAGGTGTGAAAGCTCAGCACGGCTCTTAGAAGCAGCCACTGTGACAAGCAGGATGAGGAGGGGTTCGACTCACGCTGGCTTACAGCAGAGGGTTTCTGGGTGAGCAGAGGCCCTGCAGGGCAGCTGAGTCCTTCAGGACTTCAGCCACATGTCCTACTATTGTGGTGTACAGCACAAGTAGGAATTATTTCCTTGCTGTTTTTGTATAGCGTTGTGGAGGCATTTGGGCTCACGGGTGTGTGGAAGGCTGTTGGTGCAAACACTGTGGCCCAGCTGAAGTCTCTCTGCCCCGTCGTGACAAATGGCTGTCACAATTCTGAGCATGAATTTCAGATCAGTCTTCTTTTTATGGCTGCTGGCAGAGTGCTCTTACAGCCCCACATATGTCTCGCTGTCACAGGCCAGCTGCCTTGGAGATGGGCCTGTGCCATGAATGTGACAGGAGGGCTCTTCTGCATGGTGTTCCTTCCATCTGGAACCGCTGTAAAGGGGAGTTGTGGAGCTCAGTGCCCAATCTGAGAGCATCTGACCCAAATCAGAGGGCGCTGCAATGGGATGGCCACATCCAGACCTGTGAGGGGGGATAGGATACCTGTCGGGCAGCTCCTGAAAGCTGGAGCCCCCTCAAAACAACTCACCCTGTGTGCCTAAAGCATGAGGCAAGTTACTATTCTAAAAATACGTTCTGTAGCACTGGTACAAATTCATTTTTAAGGTCTTTCCCTCTGACACGGCTTCTTAAACCCTAAGCAATGAGAGTCAGCAGGAGCCGCTCGCTGTGCCCCCTAAGGCTCTGTCCCTCCCTTCACAGGTGACCTCCCGCTGGACTTTCCGCTGCCCTGGCTGCCCCCAGGCGCTTTCACACGATGACTCTCACTTCCACGAGCGGCACAAGTGCATCAATTTCTTTGTCAAGGTGTACGGGTACATGCCTCTGCTCTACACCCAGTTCCGCGTGGACTCGGTCCTCTTCAAGACCCGCCTGCCCCATGACAAGACGAAATGCTTCAAATTCATCTGAAAGCAGGAGGGAGCAGGGCACCCCGGCTTCCGAACCCCATCTGGAGGTGGGGAGGCAGAGGGGGGCTCTTCAGCTGGGCTTCGATGCTTGACGCCTCCTGCCACGGACTCCGGTCTCCTCCCACGGAGCACGAGGGACGTCGGGGACCTGGCGGTTGTGTCAGGATGCTCCCTGCGATCGTACACTGAGGAATGGTGCACTCACTAGTGGATCTGCCCCTTTCCTGGCCGAGGGCGACCATTCTTTTTAATTATAATTATTGTTATTTAAAATGAAAGTGTTTTAGATTTGCCGCGTGAGGCTTTTTTTTTTTCCCTACCCACCCCGTTTTCCCCTCTTGACCCACCACAGCGAGGCCAGCTTGGAGGAGCTGGGCTGCAGAGGTTTCTCCCAGCATCGAGGCGGCTCTGCTGACCGTGCCGCCCCCATCCCTTCCCTGCCCCTCTCACACACCGTCGGCCTCACAGCCGCAACTGAGGGCTCCAGCTTTCGTCCGTCCGGGAGCACTTTGCTGCTGGGCTGACCACACAGGGCCCACCCAAGAGGGGTGAGTGAGGAAGAACTTGGTCCCAGTGGGTCTTTGCCCAGCTCCCAGCTGCAGGCCCTGTGCCACAGTCACTGTGGTCTTATTCCTGGTGCCCTGTGCTGCAGCCATAGGGAAACCAAGCTGCCCCGTGTGCTCCTAGCTGGCCTGCTGGTGTTGCTGGGATGGAAGGTGAGGTATCGGTCCTTTCGAGATCATGTAATGCTTCAGAGGGTGGGGAAAAGAGATGGGCGTCCTCCTTTGTGCCAGCCAAGCAGCGCCAAAGCGAAGCGCCAGCGATTGCTGGGATCCCACGCTGCCTCGTCCCCATCGCAAAGCCACACGTGTGCCCAGGGTGGATTTACCTGCCTTAAACCCTCGTCCTGCCTGCACACACATGTGGCTCTGGGCTGCGTTTGAAGGTTAATCCCACAAAGACCTTCCATTCAAGTGGGCTGGGGGACGTAACTGCGATGGTGGTGATGGAGCTGGGTTTGGAGCTGGTTCCTCCCCTACCCAGCGGGTGCCGTCAGCTCGACACACTGCTCTGCTTGGCCGTGGTCCCGTGGGAGGAGGAAGGACATGGCTGCTCTCCTGCACGTACCTTCAGCAGCACCACAGAGTGCAGGGAAACGAGGAGTGACGTCTGGTTCTCCCTTTGTGTGCTGTTTCTCTTTTTTGTTTTTACATCAGGCGCTGGAAACAGAGTGTGAAGGTTCAGTCTCTTTAAATAGAGGAGCATTAAATGGAGCATGGGCGGCAGCCAGGGTGGGGGCAGCTGTGGATTGCACTTTATATAAATAGAGATACACACTTCCCATCAGTTTATTTTCAGAAGTCTTAGGGGGAAATGTCCTTATTTTGGTGAGACTGTAATGTAGGGAGCTCAGAAGATGCGGATGTACCGTGAAGTGTTTGTGTTGCCATTTGCATTGCAAGGTCTGGTTGCTGAGCCTCTGTGCATGGCAGCTGTCAGACACCCACCTCCTGTACCCCAAAACCTAAACCTGCGTTGGCCCTCAGTCCCAAGGCTGGGTGGCTCTTCCTTTCCATCATGGCTTCTCATTCACAGGCCAGTAGAAACAGTGGTGGAAAGTCGCGTTGTTCTTCCAGGCTCTCAGCTCTCTCATCCCTTGCCCAGCCTGTTGGTTTTTCAGACATGCCTGGCACCACGGTTGTGATGGGGTGCCTGCGGGGTGGGGTTGAGTTGCAGGATGGTTTCCTGTTTGCTGAACCCCAAAGGGATTTGGGGTGAGGGTGGGTGGGTGCTGCGATGTGCTGGTGGCAGGAGGGAAGGGGACATGGGGCCGTGCAGGGCTGTCTCCATCTCCACCCTCAGTCTTCTGTTGCTAGGAAGATTGCCCTGCTCTGCCCCAACAGACACCAGAACCCTTCCAGAGCACGGATCTGTGATTCATGCCCAACTTTCTGCTCCGGTGGCATCCTGCAGGCTTCCCCCATTGTGGGGGAGGAGAGAGGCACCCCTGAGAACAGCCCTTGCCACTGTCCCCATCATCCTGGTGACCAGCATCTCTGCTGTGGGTTTTGTGATGGTCCCGGGGCAATGCTGAAGCTCAGGTCAGGTTGGGTTCATCCCGGTGAGGGTCCCTTTCCCAAAGGAAGGCCTTTTCCCTTTTTGGATGTTTCTGCTGCTTCATCCCAGGACTGGGGCTGCAGCTGGGTGTGGAGTGAGGTTCTCTCCCGTTCACTGTAAATAGCATCGCCAGTGGTGCCGCCCTGCCCTGTGCCAACTGCCCCGGGGGCACCGGGTTCAAAGAAAAATGGAGGCAAAAAGGAACACTCCTTCAACACGAGCACAATATTCATATGTTGATTTTTTTTTGTAAAAGGATCCAATAAATGGAGAGTTTAACTTGAGTGTGGCTCCGTGCTTTGCTGGGGGCTGTGAGAAAGGGTTTGGGACTGGGATGGGATGCGCAGCACCTTCCTTTTGGGGCACCCCAAAACCAACATCTCCCAGCCCTGCCTTTTCCCTGGCAGAGCCGTGAGCTGCTCTGGTCCAGCAGAACACCTTCAGGGCAGCTGTGTCCATTTCAGCAAACTGCCCTGGGGTAAAGGCTCGTCCCTACTGGGAGCATTTGTTCTTGCTATTATTTCCAGAAAAAAA